CACCCTTGGAGGTAATTTACTTTGCCAGACCCTTTGCCACGGGAATGAGCTCTCAACAGGTTCCAATAAGGATCTGAAATAAGTACGAACAGAAAACAAACCATTCTGTGCCGCCCTCCACCTGCTACAATCTTCCTCTCCCACTCGAATGTGCACATCATACAGAGAGGCCAAAAATAATGCATAGTCATCCAGTTCCCAATCATGTAAGCCCCTCCCGAAAGCAATGTTCCAGCTAGGACTCCCATTGGATATAGCCATAGCATCACTCACCATGGCTGAAGGCTCCAAGGCAATGCGATGTAAGGAAGGAAACCGCACTTTTAATGTTTGATCTCCACACCAACAATCGTCCCAAAATCTGATATTTGTCCCGGTCCCCACATACTTCACGAGACTTAGAAGAGCTAAACTGTCCAAACCATCATCTGTAAGCTGATTTAATTGAATTCTCCTGAGCGGCTGATTCAATTGAATTCTCCTAAGTGGCTGATTCAATTAGCAAGAATAAAAAAATCACGTGTTGTCGTGAGCAGTAATGTTTTTTTTTAAAAAAGTTTTTTCCTGTGATTGTTTTTGCCCCTTGACTGTTCTTGTGTTTGAATTTGGTCTACTGTGGGAATTTTTGGTGTTGCGAAGGCGGAAACGGTTGGTAAGTGTGCTTATGGATGTGGAGGATGGTAGAGGCGATGGCTAGGGATGTGGTGGTGATTGAAATAAACTTTTGAACTTGAACATCTATCAAAACTTCTCAAAATTATTTGACTAAAAGAAAATGACTTGATCCGATATCAAATTGACTTAGGGTGCAACAATAAGAACAAGATTAAGGAGAAGAAAGAGAAGAAGATGGAGAGAATTTGGGGGAGAAAGTATACATTTATTTCATTATCAAAGTTGTATATATTACAATGAATAAGCCTCCTTTATATAGTGTTTAAACTAGTCCTAATTGAAGTAGGAAAATACTATAAAATCTATTAAATTAAACCCTAATAAAGCACGTCAAGTTTGATAAGCGGAGAGTTTGACAACATTCGACCATCTTGAATGAGTGGTCCGTGGTTGGTGCTAATTAGTAGTCTTCGAGATAAGTGCTTTTGTGCGTGTATTTTTTTAATGAGTAAGAGCCTTTATGTTTAAGAGCTGACTTTTGCAATAAATTCTTAAATGTGACTTAATGTTGAAAACCAAATTCTTATCATATTCTGTTAGTCATACTATAAGAATTGAAAGTGATGTTTTGACGACTTGATTGCTAAATGACTAATCCGTGCAATAATTACAGCAGTCTTGTACTCTTGAGTTTGATGGTTCCTCAAAAGGAAATCCTGGACAAGCTGGAGCAGGAGCTATACTACGATCTGATGATGGAACTTTGGTAAACATTGTCGTCCATTGAGGGTTTTTACCCCCCTTTTTTTTTCCTGATACATTATTTATATTCTTACTGTTTTTTACTTGTTAGATTTGTAGGTTACGCGAAGGTTTAGGAATAGCAACAAATAATGTTGCTGAGTATCGAGGCATGATTTTGGGGTTGAAATATGCACTTGGAAAAGGGTATACAAGTATTCTTGTTCGGGGTGACTCAAAACTTGTTTGTATGCAGGTATATGTGTGCTTTTTGTATGTGGTGTACCTGAATGCAGTTTTATTACTGTCTTTTTGGGCTTTATATTGCATAGTTCCTGTCACTTAGTGCAATGACTGCAGTTTAGCTTCTATGAGATGATCCGTCTTTTATATTCTCAATAGAGAATTTAATACAGAAAATAATTGCTATATGTTTCTAATTTTAGTTTTCATTTTAGAGATGATATTAGGTAAAGGTAACTTGTATTATCAATTGATGGAATCTTTTACTGCTATTGTTTAGTGAATCTCTCTGCGGTTTTCCTTTGTGAAGTTTACGATCTGAGGGATATTTCATGAACAGATTCAGGGTCAATGGAAGGTAAAAAACGAAAACATCTCCAATTTGTACGAGGAGGCGAAGAAATTAAAGGATAGGTTTCTTTCATTTGAGATTTCTCATGTACTTAGGGTAAGCTCAGTTGTATAACTTTTTGTTCGAACAATGCAACCCTGTTGCACGCCTCCACCAAAAAGAATCTTGGATTTTGTCGGTGCAATTTTCAGTGATTCATTTCGTTAAGCAAAAGTCTACGTTGTTTTCCCTAGGCTTTTAAAGTGTTAAATGCTGACATTTTATTTTTATCTTCTGGGAGGACTTGAACTCTGAGGCGGATGCTCAAGCAAACTTAGCTGCAGTTCTTGCTGGTAATAGTTTCTCCCTTAATCTCAACTCTGAATTCGAGCATGTTTTGCTAAGCTTAATAGGTTCACTAAAGAGTAATGACTAGTTNAAAAAAAAAAAAAAAAAAAAGGAAAAAAAAGTAAGAGTAATGACTAGTTTTTAATTGGATCAAATTAGAAATAGGTTATTTTACAAGTAATTTTATTAAACTTCAAAGTAAGAAAAAAAAAAAAAAAGTAACTTATCCAAACATTTTGGAAATAGGAGCAACTCTTTTCTTATTTTTAAGCTCAACAAAATATGCTCTCCTAGTCACTTAAGGTGTATAAGTTTGTTTCGATCTATCTGATACTGCAGAGGGTCAAGTTCAGGAGGAGATTGATAAATAGCTGCTGGGGAAAAGCAGATGGCTATGGAGAGATTGATTAAGAAGATATATAGCAGTCATGTCAAGAATCTCTGCGTGTTTCAAATCTTTGAGTTCATCTGTCAATTGTTGCTGCAGTTTCTCTCGTAAATTCATATTTTATTTTATTTCATATTGCGAGTATATCAACCACACAAGTTTGGAGTTTCGTCATTACAATTGCAATTTTGAGCCATTTTAATTTTGTTCATGTATCTACCCTATTGACGGGAGTTTTCAAGAGTGAAACAGTGGATTACAGTTAAACATTTTACATATTTTTTAGTCCTGTAATTCAATGAAGGTATCCTTGTTTAGTGTTTTTTGAACTCATGGGACTTTGATAATGTGTTATACAAAAACATGGAATGATAAACGAACTTGTCTATTACATGGTTTGAACGTAGCATCGAGCATTTCATATGAAACTGGGCGAAAGTTTTGCCACACAATTCTCTTCTTTCCATGCAACTTCAACAAAGATAGAAAACTGCTGCATGAGTTTATAGAGCCCCCGGGCTCTATACCAAGGGAACTCAAAATAATGCGCTAACCATTTTTCAACTTCCACAAAGATCCCAGACTGCTAGATGAGTTCATAGAGCCCCAGCCGGACTAGCTATGTGATATCTTGGGCATTTGATGCCGACCCTAGATTCTAGTCCACTCTTTCCAGTCCTTGTCGACGTGATCTTGAGCCCATTTAACAGCTGCTCGTGCAGCTTGAGGACCCCCAGGCAAACCTCTTTCATTTAGGGTATCGGCCATATCGATGAATGGAATGACTAAGAGAGTTCCCGGACCACCATACTCCGTATGCAAGAAATCATTGAAGATCTGTTCAAATATTATACAAAGTAGGAAAATTCAGCATTTGTACGAACAATAAAGAGATTACATTGACAACACAGTACAGAATGGCCACAAAACAAGAAAAGCTTCAAAGAAGGCTGATACGCCTTAACAGAATAAGGAAAATCTTAATAAAATGTAACCCTCGTTTTCAAAATTATAACCTTCACAACCTGTCACATGAAGAGTAAAAATGCATCTCAATATTAAGCCGTGTAAAGATTGTTTGGCTTTCAAGATTGCAAAGGGGCGTTCTATTGCATTTGATGGTTCGCAGTCCACTGGTGTCAGCCAATAGTCACCGTGTGAACTATGTAGGATAATGGTCTTCGCAAATTCTTAAACTTAACTTAGGAGTGTGGGTTTGGCACTTCAAATTTTTTACAGATTATTATCTCGATTATCATTTATTTCCCATTAAAACATGCTCAATCAATTGATGAATGGAACCAACAAGATGGTTGCTGTTAGCCAGCATGATTCTCAAAATAACAAGCCTCTACAGGCCATAAATTTTTGGAAACAAGGATCATAGTATTCCAAATACCAGAGCAAGAAACAAACTTGAATTTCTAGAAAATCAAGAATAAGGAAGCAGGTTCAAGTAATTGGTGTTAAGATTTGAGGTTCCATCTTAAAGGGTCAACCTTATTAGGAGAAGTAACCAAATCCTTTATAAGTTGGTTTATGTTTTCATCTTTATTCGATATGAAATTCTATTCCTTAACATGCCCCCTCAAAATGGTCGCTCAGGCCAATCTTGAAATCTGTGTGTTCAATTTTTTTGAGTCTTAATCGAATCGAATTGTTCGTTCGAGCTTAATGGGCTCTGATACCATGTTAAGATTTGAGATTCCATCTTAAAAGGTCAACCTTATTAAGATAAGTAATACAATTCTTTATAAGTTGGCCTATATTTTCATCTTTATTCGACGTGGGATTTTATCCCTTAACGATTGGAAGTTCACCAAATGCACTTTAACTATTTAATTCTCAAGTTGCTGCTGTTGTCTTTCAGAAATTAAATCAATAGTGTAAATAATTTATTTATCAGGAAGAAGGCTTAGTGGTTGTTATATTTATATCCAATCGTTATAAACACAAGTACATAAAATTCAAAATCAATAGGGATATTATTTAGCATTATGTTCTAAAAGTATACCTTTTATGATTTGGGCATTATTGTTTATAATCCCAACACCCACTGGCAAACACTTATAAGTGATAATAAGAAACTCAGCATAAAAATCTACATGAACAACGATAAAAGCAGAACACCCAAAAAAAAAAAAAAAAGGACAGCAGAAGTACCTCAGTACAGATTCCTACTACTTCTTCAACAGATTCTCCAAACATATCTTTCTTGGAGAGCTTCTTAATCAAATGGGTCCTAAATTTTTCAGTCTCCTGAACCCATAACATCATATTAATTACCAAACCAACCAAGAAAACGCCCATTCATTCAATTAACTAAGCACAATTTAACAAAGAAAGCTTACAGCATCAGCAAATTCAGGAATTGGGTCAGGGAATTTGTATTCTGCAGCCCTGCAAATGAAGCTGTGATTCCTTTTCCTGGAAGTTACTGAAGTGTTAAAATGAGTGTTTTTGGCTATATTTCTATGTGAAGAAAGTGGAGTTGAGTAGGAGATTGAAATTGGAGGAGGTGAAGAAGAAGAAGAGGAAGGGTAAAGAATTAAGGGGGCAGTAGATGTAGCCGAAAGAGCCATCTCAATATCCTGTTACCCAAATTGCTGCCGAGGGTTTAATTTATTGAGTTTATACACTTCTTTTGATAATCTTTTTCACTTCTTAATTTTAAAAGACGATTTAAAAGTTTACAAACCCCTTTTTTTTTTTTTTTTTGGCATCTTAAAATAGTGAATTGACAGAGAATGTAGTGTTAAAAAATAAGGAAATTTTTTGAATTTGCGTGTAATATTATATTATTAAGAATGTGTTGTTGAAAAAAAGAGAGAAAAAAAATATATTTTAAAAAAATGGAGATCAAACAAGTGCTTCATTAGAAATTGTTATACCCTTTAATTTTCAAGTAACAAAATAATTTAAATAAAAATAAATAAATAAATCAAGAAATAAAAGAAAATTTTAACTATAACTAGTTCCTACCCATGCAGTGGACGGGTCAGGTGATTTCGATGGTAGTGTTAGTGTGTTAAATGGGTTATTTTTTGTGAAGTAGAAAAAGAGGTACAATAGCGACTTCTATGTTCTTTATTTAAGATGCAATCCAAAAATAAAATAAAAAGTAAAGAGGCAAAATTATCCATGATATAATTAAAAATGATGGTGCTAGTCCAAAATCAGCAAACTTTAGGTTTCCTTCATTGTGTGTAAGAATATTGGAGCCTGTATCTTTCGATGTCTCTATTTGTGAAGACTTGCCCAATCAGCTGTGCGGAGTACTTGCTCCGCACTGTAATAACTACAATTAAATGTTTTCATTAGCCATTTAAAATTTGTTAAATTAGATAAGGAAAAATATATATAATGCAGCGATGAGGATGGTATTCAAAATTAGAAGAAACACTTTATATTTATATTATTATAAAGATTTACATCAAGTGAATATTTATATCAAGTCAACGTTTATATCAAAAACGTTAACTACATCTCAAAAACATTTATATCCCAAAAAACTACATCTCAAAAACGTTTATATCCCAAAAAACTAACTGGTTTTTGGATGAGTCATTCACTTGAGATTCAACTTAAGTCAACTTAAGTCATTGCACATAGATACTTTGCTATAACAAAATAATATAACAAAAAACATGGATATCTGTGTCATTGATTCTTAGCCATGACTTTCGGTTTCTTTGTAGTTTTTGGCTGTCTTTTTTTTTCTTTACTTCTGGTTCAATTGTGTTATCTGCTACTTGGAATAAACTTCTCTTTGCATTTGCCTTGTCAATGTTTGTGGAAACTTCACTCGCTGCAATTTTATCCTTGCCTTTTGCTGTTTTGTGAGTTATCTCCTGTTGTAATGTTAATGTCACTCATTTCAGATGGGTTCAAATCATCTAGTGTAGATGTGGAGTTTATGTGTGCTGCTGACACATTGAAGATAATTTCATAGCGGTATTCTGGTGGATCTTGACGTTTCTGTGTGACTTTGAGGTAGAAGAGCAAAGGTTCTTTACATCCATTCTTTATCACATTGTTGAGATATGTGTCTGGATTCTGTGGTATGAAAATTGTATATATGTATTATGTGTGTGGCTTCATAAAGAAATTGTTATAAGACCTTTTTTTTTACCTGGAGAAAATGATTCATTATGTCCTTGGCTTTAGCTTCCAATAGTGCTTATACAGCTTCTCCTATTATACTTGCGTCTAATTCTACAGACATATCTTTCAACCGAATGAAAGCATTTGCTATGTTTATTGTTTATTATAACGTTAGATGTCATCATTTGTTAGAACAAATTTAAATTCATGTGTAGAAATGCAATTTACCTTGGCATTGCTTTCGCATGTTCATACTTGCAGAATCGGCATTTATAGTTTTCTTCAAAATCTACGTTTGATGTCTTTTTGCAATTGCTACAGGCCATATACCAAAACTTTTGTTGCATCGAAACAATTTTCCACTGAGCTTTGACCCAATAAAACTTCTTCTGTATCAAAATAGGTATATGTATATTAGATTGGATTTTGAAGTTAAAATGTAAAAATCTGTGAAGTCTGTTCGAAATAATTTAAGGCTATGTGCAGTGTGTATACATATTTAAAGATGTATTCTAGAAAGTACCCCCAGATAGACTCCAAGTAAGTCAGCAAGTGATGTGAATTTGTCTTGAGGTGGAGGCGACAGTTTTGGAGGTGTCACAACAACAAATGGTTTGTCACTTAGTTTGTCAAGTATTTCCTTGTTTGTTTTCACCTTGTAGAAAATGAAACACATAAATGATAATAGTTTTTTTTATATCTAGGATGCAATAAGTGTAGAATTTGGAAGTGGAGTAGAAACCATTCTCTATACTCCGCCACTGCTAGTATGTCAGCATCAATAAAAATGGTACTATTGACTTTAGTTGAGTGTAATGCCTACAGAACAAATAGAATAAAAGTAAGATTTATTTTTTTGCATTTTAACATAACAATAAAATAAATAAAGTAAAGGTATATTGAATTTACCGTTGAAGGAAGAAACCTTGAGACTAATAGCCCATATGACAGGTCTTTTTGCAAGGTTTTCAATGATAGCAATACACTCTCTTTAAACAAAACTATCCCACAATGTAAGCATTACAGTTTCGAAATTTTTGTCCATCAATATAACATCTTGAAGATAGGCTTGTGTACCATAGTGGGTTTGGATAATTCTTTTTTGACAAATGTCTATGGCAACATTTAGAACACCTGAAGTATTTGCTTATTATGTACTGTCCATGATGCTAGTTGAATGTGAAGAAATGTAGTAAAATATTGTTTATAAGGTTAGTTTATCTTCTTATGTTTTTGTTGTTATCCATGTAGTTTTGTAGTTTGTCGAATGGAGTCACTTCATATGTAGAGAAGAGGAAGTTCAGATTCTCCTCATTTACTTCTTCAAGTCTTGTTTTCCCTGTAATGATCAAAAGTTTTTCATCAATAGAATTTACAAATGTATTTCTATTATGTTTCACAGTAGCATTTGATAGGATGTATGTTTTCCCGAGTTGCAGTTGATCTTTGAGGGCTGCAATATTTGCATCATACATTATGGCTATAACTACGTTTTTCTGTTGAAAGGTTAGAAGATATTAATAAGAAGCATATTATATGATTTGAAATGAGGAAGATATTATAGTTATTAATATGTACAAACCTCTAAATCCATTAGAAGAAGATTTTGGTATCGACTTGAGCTATTACGAGCATGCTTAGGTGACTGTTTTCCTACAATAATCACCTTTGCACACCAATTATTTTCTCCAATAGAAATTTCTGGGATGAGCTTAGGAGTAGTCATCTTGCATTTGTTAACCACATTAAAAAGGAGTTGGTGCATAAGTAGTTGGACTCTTCACATAAAAAAGGAATTGGAGTATAAATAGTTGGAGTTCTTATTGTGAAAAATGTAAGAACATTGATAAAATAAAATATGGAGATGGAATTAACATATAACAGATATAAGATGGCAATGTAGTTTTTGACGATTGTGATGTGTTTATTGTTGAGATGTTTGAAAAGTGAAGAATAAGTTTTAACTATTTATAGAGAATTTTGTGAGTATAGGATGAATATTTTAATTTATATTTAAGATAAAGATTGAATTGAATGATGATAATAGTACATTCTGTAGTATGTGCCGTAAAAAAATAGTTGTCCACATATGTGCTGTAAAATTTTTTTTACATTTTTGTAATTTGCTCTAACATATTTACTATGAAATATATATTTTTGTAAAGCAAATATCAGGAAGTATGATATAATTCGTTTTTATTAGTTCAGAGAATGGAATTAATTTGATGAGAAAAATTATTATGTAATTAATTGTAATCTAATTTTATTATAGAAAAGTTTATAAAAGTATACAAAACTACAAAATTTGGTGGTATTTATCAGAAAATGCGTGAAGACTAATTAATCAGTGAATACTATGTTGGTTATTTGTATAGCATTTTGAATGGATATGATAGTGTAGATAGGAATTATATAACATCAATGTTTTCCTAATTTTGACTTTTATGAGTGTTTATCCGAATGGCGAATGAAAATATTGAGTGAGGTATAGTTATGGTAGTAACAATGTTGGTAACAATGTTGCAATATGAGAATTGAAAATGTGAAAATTAGACTTATTTAATTGTTTTAATTGTTAAATGTATATGAAGTCATTTGTGTAATAGTAGAAATTTTAAATTTTTAGTTAAAGATGGAAAGAAAAAGATTTTGGTAATCTTAAATTTGTTGTTGTTTTGAAAATTATAAATAGTGTTAAAATATTTAAGCATAGATTCTTCATTTTGTTGGATTTGGAGGTGAAATGTGTTACCTGTTGAAAAACTCTAAATGTAGTGAAGTTGAAAGAAAGTAAAAGAAAGATAGGAGGTTAAATTAAGAAGCAAGAAAACATGCTTTGAAGAAATGGTTTTTTGTAAGAAAATTTTTAAAAATAAAATTTGAGGTTATGTTATTAATTATTTTTTAGTTGGAAATATTGCTTACTATTTTGTTACAAGTGAAAAATGTCAAAATATGAATTTGAAGTTTTAATGAATGACTTGGACATATTTTAAATTACGCTAAATAGTTGAACTAAAATCGGAAGTTGAATTAGAGAAAATAAAACAAATAATTTATATATTTGTTTTTTAAAAGATGGATTGTTTACTATAATAAGCTGATAATGACTTAAAAAATGTAGTTAAATTTAAATTTATTTTGTGCAATTGTATAATACCTTTGATGTAATGCATACATGATATTGAATTGCAATTCCTGTGTGACATAGTTTCCCATCCTGTAGAGTGAAAAAGAATTCCTTAGGTAATAAAACTTTAATGTGAAGGGAAATCACACATGTACAAAACTTAATGAAAAAATTGGGAAATATAAATGAGTAACATACATCGAGTAGCAATTGTAGCTTGTCTACAAACCATGCAGTTATTCCCAATCATAGCACAATGTGAACTATCTGGAAAGCAAAGCATGTCAAATGGTTTAAATTTATGAGTAAAAAATAGGCTAGGCAGTGAAATCACACGTGACTCAATTA